GTTTGAAAAGTTGACAGTTAGGTCCATTAATGATGTTTCTTCATCATTTAGTCCCTAACTTAGCTTAATGTGCTTGAAATTTTTGGGGTATTACATCCACCCCTCCTAAAAAGGAGTTTAGTCCCCTAAACTCATACCTCAATCTTGGAAGAGGTGCGGATGTTCCTGCCTCATCTTGGATTCCAACTCCCAAGTAGCTTCTTCAACCGAATGGTTGTCCCAGAGGACCTTAACAAAACGAATGGTCCTTCTCCGCATTATCCTCTCTTTGAAATCTAAAATGCGGATCGGGCGCTCGTCATAAGTGAGATCCTCTCGGAGTTGAATTGGTTCGGGATTAATGATGTGGCTCGGGTCGGGGACATACTTCCTAAGTAAGGACACATGGAACACATCATGAACACCCGCTAGATTTCCAGGCAATTCCAATTTATAAGCTACCTCGCCAATCCTTTCCAAGATGGGATATGGTCCAATATACCTCGGACTCAATTTTCCCCAGATACCAAACCTGAGGATACCTCGAGTGGGTGACACCTTCAAAAATACCTGGTCACCAACTTCAAACTCAAGGTCTCGCCTCCTTCTATCCGCATAGCTTTTCTGCCTGCTTTGTGCAGCACGAAGGCATTCCTTGATCAACTGCACAATCTCAGAAGATTGTTGCACCAATTCTGGGCCTAAAATGCTTCTTTCGCCCACTTCCGTCCAACAAACAGGTGATCTACACCTTCTACCATACAAAGCCTCAAACGGTGCCATGCGGATGCTGGACTGATAACTATTATTGTATGCAAATTCAGCCATGGATAAGTGTTGATCCCATGAACCCTTCCAATCTAGAACACAAGCCCTCAACATATCCTCAAGTATCTGAATAGTTCTCTCAGATTGCCCATCAGTTTGAGGATGAAAGGCCGTGCTAAAATTTAATTGAGTACCAAGTGCCTGCTGCAAACTTGTCCAGAAATGAGACAAAAATCTGGTATCTCTATCTGACACAATAGACACAGGGACTCCATGCAGTTTGACTACCTCCTCCATGTACATATTAGCAAGCTTTTCAATGGAGGTGCCAGTCCGGTAGGGTAAGAAATGAGCTGATTTGGTCAATCGATCAACGATGACCCAGATGGAATCATTACCCTTAAGGGTTCGTGGTAAACCAGTCACAAAGTCCATGGTGATGTTCTCCCACTTCCACTGAGGAATAGGTAATGGCTGCAGTTTGCCAGGAAGTCTCTGGTGTTCAGCCTTGACCTTCTGGCAAGTCAGGCATTGTGAGACAAATCTAGCTATCTCCCTCTTCATGTTCCGCCACCAAAATGTACTACGTAAATCGCGATACATCTTGGTGCTACCTGGGTGAATTGTATAGCTAGTATAATGGGCATCTCCCATAATCTCACGCCTCAAAGCATGATCCTTGGGTACACACAGCCTGTCACCAAACCACAAGGTCTCATCATCAGAAATTCTGAATTCTTGCATGTGGGGTTCCCCGGCTCTTACTTTTTCCTTCATCTTCTGCAAGAAGGAATCTTTTTGTTGGGCAAATTTGATTCTATCTATTAATGCCGGTTGTGCACTGAGGGCGGCTAGATAAGCCGTAGTGCTGTCCATTCTCAACTCCACATCAAGTTTCACAAGATCCTCAAGTAACTCCTTTTGAGTGGCAAGGATGCTAGAGGCAGTGCCAGAGGACTTCCTACTCAACGCATCTGCTACCTTGTTAGCCTTGCCCGGATGGTAGCTAATGGTCAAGTCGTAGTCCTTTAAAAGTTCAAGCCATCGCCTCTGCCTCATATTAAGCTCCTTTTGGGTGAAAATATACTTAAGGCTCTTGTGATCAGTGAAGATCTCACAAGTCTCACCATACAGATAATGCCTCCAGATCTTGAGTGCAAATACTACAGCTGCCAACTCCAGATCATGGGTAGGGTAATTTTCTTCATAAGACTTTAACTGCCGAGAGGCATAGGCAATAACCCTATCTTTTTGCATCAGGACACATCCCAAACCCTTTTTAGAGGCATCACTATATATAGTGAATTTTTCCCCATTAATTGGGAGTGCAAGTACAGGAGCAGTGACCAATTTCTCCTTCAAGGTCAAAAAGCTCTTCTCACACTCTGGGGTCCACTCAAACTTGGCATCCTTCCTGATCAGACGAGTCATTGGCTGGGCAATTCTGGAGAAATCCCCCACAAATCGGCGGTAATAACCAGCCAATCCCAGAAAACTCCGAACTTCTGCAACATTATTCGGCCTTTTCCAATCAACCACGGCCTCAATTTTCTGGGGGTCAACAGAAATTCCATCCTTAGTCACAACGTGACCTAGGAATGCAACATTATCTAGCCAAAATTCACACTTCTTGAATTTAGCAAACAGCCTCTCCCTTCTCAACGTCTCGAGGACTATCCTCAAGTGCTTCTCATGAAGAGTATGGCTAGAAGAGTAGATCAAAATGTCGTCAATGAAGACAACCACAAATTGATCTAGGTATTTGCTGAACACCCGATTCATCAAATCCATAAATCTGGCAGGGGCATTTGTCAAGCCAAATGGTATGACCATGAACTCATAATGACCATAACGGGTGCGAAAGGCAGTCTTTGGTACATCATCCGGTTTAATCTTCACCTGGTGGTAGCCAGATCGAAGATCAATCTTAGAAAATACCTGAGCACCCTTGAGCTGGTCAAACAAGTCATCAATTCTAGGAAGGGGATACCGGTTCTTCACAGTCACCTTATTCAATTCCCGGTAATCAACACATAGCCTCATGCTCCCATCCTTCTTCTTGACAAACAACACTGGAGCTCCCCAAGGTGATACACTAGGGCGTATAAACCCTTTCTCAAGGAGTTCCTCCAGCTGGACCTTTAACTCCTTCAATTCTGCAGGAGCCATACGGTATGGTGCTTTGGAAGTGGGTCCGGTGCCAGGAACAAGGTCAATGGCAAATTCAACCTCTCTATCCGGAGGTAAACCTGGGAGATCCTCTGGAAATACCTCCGGAAACTCACGCACCACCGGTATGTCCTCTAGTCTCGATGTCACACTACTAGCATCAATAACAGAGACTAGGAAACCCTGACAACCATTTACAAGATATTTTTGAGCCTGCAAGGCAGATACTAACACGGGTGGAGCAAAAGAACCACTGCCTTGAAAACTAAATTCTGGCTCACCCGGAATATTAAAATTTACCCATTTCCGATGATAGTCTATAGAGGCAAAGTGTTTAGACAGCCAATCCATCCCCAAAATGATATCAAAATCGGAGATGTCTAAAACAAATAAACTAGTACTCAACTGTCTACCATCAACATAAATATCCATCGTCCTACACACCTCCCTAGTAGTCATCACCCCTCCTAAAGGGGTGTCCACATGCAGTTCACAATCAGAGATATCAACAGGCAAAGCTCGTTTCAAAACATAAGATCGAGCAATAAAAGAGTGCGACGCACCCGAATCAAATAAAACATGAGCATAATCAGAGTTAACAGGCAAAGTACCCGTGATTACGTCGGTAGCCGCAGCTTCCTGATGGGTCATCACGTGAACTCTTGCTTGTTGGGCTTGGGCTCTTGCCTGCTGGGCCCTTGTCCTAACCCCGACATTCTGTTTCGGTGCCCCTTGATTGGTAGACCCCTGCTGAGATGTAGATTGAGTACTTTGAGTTTTGGGGTCTAGCAACGGACAATTTGCAATCTGATGTCCTGGCTTGCCACATCTAAAACAAGCCCCAGTGGCAATGTGGCACTGATCACGGGTGTGCCCAACCTTTCCACAAAAGTTGCAAGTAGGTGGAGTAGGGCGAGCACGTTGAGCCGTGGATGCCTGGCCCCCAGTCTTGGTGGCTCCTGACCATCTAGGACCCTTGTTGATTTCAGACCTAGGCGGTGCAAGGAAAAGGGACCGACGGCTCCCATCAAATTTCCTCTTCCCAAGGGATGACCCACCACTAGGCTGCCCTGAGGACTTGACCCTAACCATAGCCTTCTCCTGACTTATAGCTCTGTCCACAGCCTCTCGATAAGTGGCGGGTTCAAATTGGTTTACCGCCAAATAAATGTCAGAATTTAAGCCCCACAGAAATTTGTCGGCCTTGGCTTGCTCATCGCCGACTTGGCTACCCACAAAAGGCAGATAGCGGTCAAACTCCTCCTTGTATTGCTCAACAGTACTTGACCCTTGTTTTAAATCTGCAAATTCTCTTTGCAGTTCTCGCCTCTTGCTGTCCGGTACGAACTCCCGCATGAACACCTTTTTAAAACCCTCCCAGGTGCTCAATTCAGGCTCCCCTTGGTGTAGCTTCATATAACTCACCCACCAAGTTAATGCCTTCCCAGAGAGCATGTAAGTGCCTACATTGACCTTAAGGTCATCAGAAACCTGCAGTAGGTGGAATCCCCGCTCCACCTCAGTGATCCACGATTCCACCTGCTCAAAACCTGCAGTACCATCGAATCCCTTGTTCTTCATCAACTTCTGGAATTCTGTATAAATCTTCCAGACAGGCACAGCAAGGGCAGAAGAGATAGGAACAGGGGAAACCGGAGCAGGGGCCATAGGAGTGGAGACCACCGGGAATGGAGGTGGTACACTTGTGACAGGAGATACTTGGCGTCTTATCTCCGCCATAAGTTCCCGAGCGAAGCTGGCCACTTGGGGATTGCTCGTCCCTCCCTCCTGCGGAGCAGCTTGAGTAGGGGGACTAGCTTCTGGGATCGGAGGCGTGCCCTGATCCTTATGGCTACCCCTCGGGGGCCGCCCACGCCGCTTTGGAGCCATCTATAACCACATCAAAAGTGTATATAGATTATTAATCAAATGCTCCACAAGGAATTTCCCGACAAGTTTCCACTTCCGGGATCAAGCAACACAAACAAAATGAGATAAGTAAAAAAATCTCACATTAGGGAAAATCAAACAAGCGCCCTTAATCAACCCCACTCTCATGCCTCACCACGTTCCTATCATTCCTTTGCTAGCCAAGTTCTAGACTAATCCTAGGCTCTTAAATTAACCTAGGCTCTGATACCACAAAATCTGTCACGCCCCAGAACCCAAATCCGGGGTCGTGGCAGACGCCGTGCACTCGTGAGCGGGGCCCACAAATGCACAAGGCTCATGACCTACTTAGTT